TCAGGCTCTCTTCTGGGAATTACTATTTAGTAATATTAGTAATATATTTTAATATTGCTCGTTCGCAAGGGTGAACGACTGTGGCCTCGTTGTCATCGTGCCGAAGCACGAAGATGGTCGACGACAGAAACTTGGAAAAACGAGAGTTGAAAAACATGCAACTCGGCGCCGCTCGACGAGGGAATGCTAAGAAATCATATCAGGAGTCTTCTTATGAAGGGTCTCCCGTCTGCAAATATTTCTGTGGCGAACATGATTCTCTCTTCCACATTTAGGAAAATATGCTTTTTTATTATTATTTTTTTTTTATCCTGCAGACCGCCTGAATGCGAAAGGAAAGTTGACGACATGGGACTTTCCCCTCGCACTTGCCCCCATCCTGTCCAATGCCCAAGATCTCCCGATTACGGCATGCTTTCCGGCCGTGCGGGAAAACAGAAACTGCTCAGAAACCGCTAAGGACGCAGATTCAACTCGATTTGGTATCCTAGTTTCACACGGTAAAATTTATTTTAGGTATGGTAATTTCAAGTGTAGGGCAACTATACATTTTATTTAAAATGGAAACAATTTAGTCCTACCATTAAAAAATAATAATAATAATGAAGCAGATTTTCTTAAATGTGGAGGAGAGAATCATGTTCCCCACAGAAATATCTGCAGACGGGAGACCCTTCATAAGAAGACTCCTGATATGATTTCTTAGCATTCCCTCGTCGAACGGCGCCGAGTTGCATGTTTTTCAACTCTCGTTTTTCGAAGTTTCTGTCGTTGACTATCTTCGTGCTTCGGCACGATGACAACGAGGTCGTTCACCCTTGCGAACGAGTAATATTAATATTAATAATATTACTAAATAGTAATTCCCAGAAGAGAGCGTATAAGACCCCTTCGACGGCGGGAATTCTCAGTCCAAAACGGCGCAGTTTAGTGGAGGAGAAGGAGCCTCCTCCTCGCGGTCGATCTGCAGCGCTGGAGGCACATGCGTGCTGGCGGATTCGGAGCCGAGCCGTGCACGGCTCGCCGGTTTGGGCGGGGTGGGAGGGTGCAGGTGAGGACGGGCTTGGGCAATGTGCAGGGTTCACCGGGAGACTAGGCGCGAGGACAGGTGAAAATTCGCGGCGAAAGAATGAGTGGTGCTTATGGAGGAATTAAGCGATCTCTCCCTACAATCTGCTTTCTGTCGCTCTAAGGGGAAACTCCAGGGGAAAAAAGGTAGATTTATGGAAATACAATCTCGTTCTGTCGCCCGTCACATGGAGAAAGAGTGTGACCAGAGCGAGAATTTCTTCTCGAGGGATGGCACGATATCCTTTTGCATTTATTACGTTTTTGCTGGCAATTTCTACTCCACGGTGTCGCATTTTTGGTTGCGTGATCCCATACACTGCTTTGCCCCCGAAGGATTTTGGAATTCTAAATGTTGGAGTCTCATTTATAGGTATATATTTGTCAATCACGATTAAACATTTTGATTGGAATAGAACCGAATAGGTTTCCTCTTCTGGTTAATCGAATCCGATTGGCAGCCGTAAAAAGAATCAAAAGACCTGGCGTCCTCTGTATGCGACGATGAGCGTGACAAAGAAGTTAAAACTGACTGAGGCGAACATCGAAACGAACTTGACCCAGAATGCGGATTTCAGGCACGCAGAATTCCCTGACCCTCCCAAGAAACGTACTTGATGCTGGAAGCGATTCCGGGCTGACGAGTCCGCGCAAGTCAGAATGAACTTCTCCCGTTTACCTTGTGGCCGTCGTTCAGATAGAGGGAAGAGCGGAGACCGTTGGACTCGCCTGGGGCTCGGAGGGGGGATGGACGGGGTCGTGCTGGTTGCGTCTCTCTTGCTTCTTCCCTTCGCCGTCGGGGAGACAGGTGAGTCGGTCTGGTTCTTTCTCGGGATGGCCTGGGGTTATGCGGTTTCTTTGTCTTCAGCGAAGGAGGCGGTTACGTGCTCGGAGGATACCGATTGCAAGGATTTCTCTGAGAAGAGCGTCTGCATCCGAGATGAAAACGATCGGTGCCATTGCGCATCGGCACAGGCAGCAGGCGACACGAAGATTGGAGTCAGGAAGTGCGGATTCGACGTGTACGTTCGGCATGAATCTTCTCCTTATGTGAAATTGGCTGAGATCTGGCTCATCGGCTGAGATTCTGTTCCCAGACCTTGACGATTCCCAGACCTTGACGATTCCCAGCTGTTTCCTGTGAATGAAAGAAACGTTTTTTTTTTGTAAGAATGTCACAGATTTGGAATTTCTACGAAGGCCGTTATTCATCGGTATTCATCAAGAAGGGTCTAATATAGCCAAGGTAATATAATATTACTGTATAACCAATACCGAAAAATTGATTATGGTGTCTTCTCATCTGAGGCAAGTTGATGCAGCAAAAATGTAGCATTATTCAAAGTTGACACAAATCGAAAGTTTTCATCTCAGGTCAAGACCTTGACCTTTGCTATCTTATGTGAGTGAAACATCTACCCCTGATCTCACGAAGTTTTCCCTTAGACCAATGAAACCAGAAATTTTGGGCTCAAGTTATTGTTGCATAACGTCTCCTTATAGCCTGGGGTTTTCGGGTCAACTGCAGCCCGTCCCTCCGCCTCAACACGTCTCACATGAGGTAGCTGATAAGAAATAATGAAGTTTCTGGTTTTGGCTACGAGGAAACCGTACGCCATATTCCAGCCAACTCCGAGACGGCCACTCTTCGATAATTCAAAATTGCTTCACTTCTCCGTGTACAGCCTCTTCACACGTACCTTTAAAAATAAAATCTACAGCCAAAAATACGAGCCCAGCGAAAGGGTGAAACCGATACGAAGCGAGAGTAACCCGAAGTGCAACACCTGCCAAGCCCAGAGCGGATCTAATACGAGATTGCGATGAATGGAGACGTCCAGTCGAAGGAAGCGTGAAACGAGCGATACTAAAGAGAAACGGAAAGGAAGGAGGTGAGCAGTGAGCAAAGGAAGGAGGTGAGCAGTGAGTAGAGAAGCTGCGGCGGGAAGGAGACCGAGAGAAGGACGCGGATCTCGTGAGACGGAGGTAGAGCACTGCGGAGAATGCAAAATACTTTCAAGGGAGAAAATGGCTGCTATGAAGACTTTTATCCTGCATGCCCCCGCCCCGCCCCGCCCCGCTTCCTCCACCATCAGCCTCAGCACAGAAATTCCGAGGTCAAATATATTTACCAGACCGAAAACTGAGCTCGATCTTGGTTATCGATCGGTCGGCTACCTGCATCGGTTCACAAATAAATTCAGTAATTGCAAGCATCGACTTTTTATCGGTCTCGCGAATCATCGGACCTGATACGAACAGAAATTCCTCAGTAACGTTTCTTGTGACCCACTCTCAGATGGATTGCAATTCATCGTCGGCGGGAAGAATCGGAAGAATCTTCCGGGCTGCCGGAAGAATCGGTGAAAAACGACTGCAGTTCCGGCTGATTTAAATTCCTTTTCATTCGTGATGAAAACAAACTTCGGCGCTCCGGAGGGAACGTCTCCATTCGCTCCCCGTGTAAAAACGGAATCGGAATTCTTTCACACTTGGTTCGGACAACCCCCGTTTTAAACCCTCAAAGAGGCTCGAAACACTTTATTTTGGCGTGAAGGAATGATAACCCGCTCCCAAAGTATTGGATCTTTCCTCTATTTTCTAGTATAGGATGATCGTGATCGTGCCATAGTGCCATAAACTAATCTGATTTCATAGTGGTTCCTAATGGGAATCGGTTTGACTGAGATGATCTCATTCCCATACGCGCCTATTATGTCAGTTAAACGGATCCGGTGCATGTTATTAATTATTAATTATCAATTAAACCCTGTCGCTTTTCCAGATGGAAGGGGTTGGTCCCGCCTGATGGCGCCCCTGGGCCGAAGGAGAGCCCCAAAGATAAGGGCCGCCGCCGCGATTGCCGTCGTCGCGGCGAGAAATCCGACCGCGACGAAGACCGCGACTGCGACGACGAACCCGACCGCGACGAAGATCGCGACTGCGACCGCTCCTTCCCCGTCTGGATCACCCTCGCGGCCATCAGCGGCGTCTGCGCCGGCGTGGGCGTCTTCACCTACTGCTGCTGCTGCTGCTGGAAGGCGGCGAGGTCGGTTCCGGCTGCTCTCACCGCTTTCGGGTTTTCTCGAGTGGGATCGATGCGCTCTGAGAAGTGGTTCTGATGGAGTTGCGTAAAATTTCACCTGCAACCTAGTCTAATCTAGAGATTAACAACGAAAAAAAGTCTGCAGTAAAAAAAAAAAAACAACAAACAAGGAAACTAAAACCGTTATTCGGTTTTTATTTATTAGTGACGGACGCATTGAAACAGCACAATTAAAGATGCTCATGAGCGGCTCTTTTATTTTTCAGGGGGAAGTTGCCCGGGAATCTGACGGAACCGAAAGAAGACGCGGGATCGACAGATGCAAGCCTCTACACCATCTCGACCATGAGGACCGAGGAGGAGGAGCCGAGCGATCCGCCGCCGCCGTATGCGTTCGATCCGCCGCCGCCGCCGTATCCGATTGTCTGAGTGGTGGATGCGATGCTGCGGGTTGGTTTTTGTGCGAGGGGATTCGGTGAATTTTTTTTTTTTTTGAGGCCTTGTTTTATGGGGTGTTTACGGCGAGAGTGCTTCGCAGACTGCGAACGTAAAAAAAAAAAGAAAAATCGTGTAAAACTTTGCAAATACAATCCTAAACAGGAAACCTTGAAAGACAACACAATTTATTCGTCGTTCGTGACGGTTGCACCTTACCCTTTCTCCCGCCTGCAAATTGGCCAATAGAGGCCGTGGCATATCTTTCAATGACATTCGAGGTTCTCGCAGAGCAATAAGGATTTTTACCGATTTCCACAGCAATATTTTCCAAGTGAACGTAGCAGCGCTGCAGGAACCGTCGGAGAGATTCTGTTCGATGCGTCGGAGTCCAGCCTCGTCTGGATATCGCGTCGGTGTTCTTATGGCATCATTCCAGCGAATAGCAGCTTTCGTGCAGCGTCCAGATGCGGTATCTGGGTGCTTCGGTGTTTTATCACGACACGAAACGATGTTGGCGTGATGCCAAAACGTCGCTATCAGAAGCACTCAAAGCAACGTTATCGCAAACGTTGGAGAACTGCCACCACAGCGTTCAATTGCAATACTTCAAGCACTCGCAACGTTTAGCGCAAATTTTGGCGTTAAGAAAATCAGCGGGTACTTTGCTACCATTCACTCGAACATGGTTCCAGCAGCGGAAACTAGATGAGGCCTAAATCGCTGATCTGCCGAGTCATTCCTTGACGCCACGGAAATCGGTTCCTGGCATCTTCCATGAAGCATCACATAAATTCCCATTTACATATTGAGTGAAAGCACTTCTGTGCATTCGTCTGAAGAGGTGACCCATCCCACTCAACACTATTCCCAGTGGATCGATGCTTCCAGCGCGAACCTCACCACACAAGTGACGATCTGACATCCCTGCCTCGGACATCCCTGCCTCGTACATCCGGGTGAGATGGCGACTCTCATGGGACGCGCAGTCCCGCCGCGGGAGGGGAACCGTGGAGACGAGCGTCCGGGGATCTTGCCCTTACGTGCCGCACGAGAATTCAAGAGAAGGTTGAGTTCTGCCAAACCGGCCGAAAACGAACCCGAGAGTGTCAACAACCGGCATTACACTGTCGACTCAGCGTGATGAGGTTCCAAATTTTCGTTCAGTATGGCTCATAGAATGCTCGTGTGTCTGTTGGGTTCTATGGGATTTTCTTTCTTCGAGAAATTTGTGGAGTTTCACCGCCTCGTAGTTGGAGAGGTGTGATTACATTTACTTATTGTAGCAATATCTTGTACCATTAGCGTCTTCGAACAAGGGAAATCGAAGGCCTTAGTCCGATTAAGATATTCATATTTTCGAAATTAAAACATAGATAAAATGGACCGACTGGATATGGAACTCGGGCATTGGAAATTCTGATGAAAGGGAGCCAGAGAAACGGATCCAAAAATGCGAAAGCATTCAGCCATGACGTGAAACGACAAATGACTTCTCGGAATTCATTCACTCGTTCTCGTTGAACGAAGCATGGCCACGTAATGCCTTGGTTGAAACACCGTGAAGCCCCGAAATACTTTTTTTCCTCGTTTTTTTTTTTTTTAGATTGATGATATCGACAAATGTCACTTTCGAGTCAAATGCCTTTCGAAGCCCCGATGCAAACATCGAACCGTGACCGAGTCACAGCTGAGTGCGCCCATTCGCTTCCATTTGCAGGCAGTTCGAGGTGTTTATTAATGCCTAATATCGAATACCTAATGAATGCCTATGAATGTCTAATATCTCGAACTTTCTTCACGAATCGTTTAGATGTGGGAAAAAATTGAAACAGACGACTCTTCCCCGAGGAATGAGATTTGTTCGCAATTGTCCGAGTACTGGTGGACCGTCTCCAGATACGGCATATGAACCGATTTTTGGCATTGGAATGCACTCGAGCGATCGGGTCTCCTCATTGGCTGCCAAGGCCGATTTTTCCCGCTCGGTCCACTCGATCCAAGGTGACATAATCGATAAAATCTAAATATGTCTGACGAACGTAATCATCAGTCCTAGCAGTATGAAGTTTAAAAAAGTAAATTAGTAATGATAAAATAATATTCGCTCATATATCGAAGCGCCTTGAACAGGCGGGAGTCACGAATCAGTTGGAATTCCCAGCACTTCCTACCGCATCTACGCACCGCGCATGCGCATTCGAAAGTTCTGCATGATCATACGCTTCCCATCGAATGTGTCATTCCCTGTCGAGTGCCTGTCTTGGTCGCTTTGGCTCGTGCTGTCGGTTGCTTTGGCAGTAAGCTGATTGAGTTTGTTTCCGTTTGATCGGTTGACGCAACCAGGAGTGATCAGTTGAATCTTCTACACCGAAAACGAGAAGGAACACAGCCCACAGGCCTCAACTCGATTGGAATGAATGGCCGTTGGGGAATCCGCCAGGTTGCAGCCGTCGCCGGTAGAGGCGCAGCATCGTCTCTGCTCCTTATGTTGTCTTTACACTGCTTTCGTGGGGAATGTTCCATGTGTCGTGCGCCAAGGGACGTAACTTTTGATACAATCAGCCGACCCATAAGTGAAAAAAAAGCATGAGTCTTGCAGGAAGATTCCCTAGTGTCCTCACATAAACTTCATATGGGTTTGCTCGTCACGGAGATAGGACTGAACGATGTATCTATATTGTGGAAATATCGCGATATTTCCATATAAATATGTATTTCTGTGGCGATATTGATATCGTCGATGATATCTGTACGGATATTATCATGACATCGCTGTCTCCTTCGGTGGGGATTATTTCTTCGTTTAGAGGAATCTAGGAAGAGAAATCCGTCTTTTCTCTCCCGTTTTGACAGTGGGAAAGTTCGCACAGTAAAGGTCGACTCGGGTCATGATACGCTCGCCTCGCTCATCGTATATGATACATCCCTTGTTTCTAGGACAACTTCGTCAAGCAAGGAGAGATGGAGGGGAAGGGAGGGGGGAGGGGGGGGGGGGAGTGACAGGGGGGGCCTGTCATAGTAACACTCATTCGACATCATTTCAAAATGGAGTCAACATGTCATCAGCATTCAGTGAAAATCTTGAATCGAATGACGAGGCCGTACCAAAAATTAATGCAAATTATCCTTGTTATTTACAGGGTGCCTAGAAATGATAGCCCTTCTACAGCAAAGTACATTGTAGATAAGCAGAAGCCAATCGCAGGGTTTTAACCTATGTCAACTTCTTTATCTTTAACTTTTTTTACTGATGGCTGGTTTACTCGGTAGTAAAAGACAAAAAAAAGACGATGGATAGATTGCATTCGTGCGGTAACTTTCTGAGTGGCACGTAGATGCTTGTGCTTTTCATCGGTCGTTCCTGGGTTGCCAAAACAAACGGCCGCAGTGATGGCTTTGTGAAGAGGAACTGGAATAAAACAGACGGGGAGGAAGGGGGGAATAGGGCGACAATTGCGACACCGTTTTTTTTCCCAACAAACCAAGAAAAGAAAAACCTCTGACAATCTGATTTGGAGAGAGGGGAAACGGTGTCGCATTTGACGCAGACATGCCTGGAGGGGAGGGGGAGGGAGAGGAAAGGAAGGGGGATTCCAGTAGTAAGGAGTCATCGCGAAACTCATTCTCTCCCTTCCCTCTCACACTTCCAGTATGCATTCAAGCCCCACTTATATCACTTGAGTAATGTCATTTATTCTCTGAAAGATTCCCCCAAAAAACAAGTCACTCACAACAGTTGGGACTGGGCATAAGCATCCCCGGCAAATTCAAAGGCAAACTAACGGTACATAATCTCTATAACTTTCTCCAAGTATTCCCCAATATTTTGAACCTTCAACTTCTCTAAAGCATCAGACAATAGCATCTCCTTCTCCACAGTCTTTCTATATTTGACTTTTACTTGTCCTGCCTGATACTGGGAAACCTTCACCTTAACCCCTAGCTCTTCCCACCCCAGAATTTCCACAAGTTCACCAAATCCAAATTAGCCCTCTTGTCTATCAGATTGGATAGACGATTGTGCCAGCCTTCTACACCATCTTTCGTTCGCTGACATTCCCCACTACAACACCACAGCTCCCTTGGAATCTTGCGTTCTCTGCAGGTGTCGATGAAATAATCAGTGTCACGCGAGGGCACTCTTCCTCGCATGATTTTGCAGCCGCGTAAAGCCACGCATCATCCATTAGACCAATTGGCACGTGACACCTCTACAGAAATGATCTTTCAGCTAATACCTTGGATTTTCATATGCTTTTGACAGCCTCAGACTCTGAATCTTTCGAAACAAAGTTTGTGCAAAATGAAACTTGCACCCGTGCACCACAATTCCAGGGAACACAATTTGGAGAGCAGAAATGAGCGCCATCTCGAAATCGCACATTACCTCCTTTGGCTCAAATGTCAGATCCTCTGTAAGTCCCCAGTGAGCAACCCCTCTCAAGAACCTCAAATATGTACTTTTCTTCTTGTCTGGCGATGACTCCTTACTTCTGGAATCCCCCTTCCTTTCCTCCCCCCCCCCCTCCAGGCATCCCCCCCCCCCCCCCCCCCCCCCCCCCCTCCAAAACAGATTGTCAGAGGTCTTTCTTTTCTCGGCTTGTTGGAAAAAAAAAACGTGTCGCAATTGTCGCCCAATCGAGGGGGGTGAGGGGGCGACCGGAAGAAAGATTGTCAGCAGAAGAAATTCAAATAAATGACGGCTATTCCCCTTCTAATTGGACAGTTTTATCGCTGAAAAAAAAATGTTGAAATACTACTAAATTCAGAATGTAGAGAGGAATTCAGTTGTTTCACATGTTCCGGTTTCGTCTGTAGAGGGAGGGGGGGGGGGGGGGGGCTAACATTTCGTTGCACCCTGCACATGGGCCTTGTTACTCGTTTCAACTACAAACACATTAGCGAGAAAAATCAACGAAAATCTGATATCAAGATATTGCAATGTGATGTTCCGCGCTGGAAGCAAACACAAAAATTATCGACGGAAACAATCTCCCTTACCCCCCCCCCCCCCCCCCCCCCCCCCCCCCCCCCCCCCCCCCCCCCCCCCCCCCCCCCCCCCCCCCCCCCCCCCCCCCCCCCCCCCCCCCCNGACCTACCTTTTCTTCCCTCTCCCCCTCTCGGCAGCCTGTTTACGGTCATAGGATAGGGAAGAAAAGGTAGGTCACCATTTCCAAGAAAATAGAAATATCGCTTGGCTCCCCTCGCCTCTTTCAACAGCGATAACTTCGAATTGAGTCTGAAGAGGGGAGGAAATGCGGCAGACCGAGATTTCCAACACGCCAACGCCGCTTTGTGCTTTCCCGCTGGGGACACCGCTGATATCGATGTATCGCGATACAGTAGGGAGACGATACGATGTTGTTCCGAGGCAGGTGTCTCTTTTTTTGCCCACTCTTAGTATTGTTTCACCCGTTAATCGATGATCCGTGCTGGCAGGACCTTTCGGGAATTATTGCAATGTGGTTTGACGGAGAAGGGGAGAAATGGTCGCAGCGCATGTTTTGTATGTCTCCATGCATATTTTTCCAGGAATCTCCGCACGTGCAACGTCGAATATCCATTTTCTATATGCTACACGAAGACTAAGTCCATTTGCCATCTCATCTGCTTCACCTCGCTACGTAATTTCCCAAATTTGCTTTCTCGTATTCCCGGATTGCAGGACGAAACAGACGAAACGCGTTTTGGAAACGTCAATCGCGCCGCGCCGATTCTCCCAATTGCTTCATTCTCAGCCCCAATCATGGAACTTCGCTCAGTGAGAAAATCCTGCTGTCCGCAACGTCGCCCTTCAAAGCCAGCTTCTCATACCCTCCTCTCTCCTCCTCCTCCTCCTCCTCCTTTCTTCCTCCTTTCCTCCTCCTTTCCTCCTCCTTTCCTCCTCCTTTCCTCCTCTTCGTCTTTCACTCCACGCACGTTGACTGGTGAACTCTGACCTTCCTACAGGTCGTCCACAGCGGTCGATTAACCAATCCTTCGATCGGGAGTCGTCAGTGAAGCCGGCCACTTTACTTCCAAACTTTACTTAGCCAAGGTAACCCAAAACGAAAAAAAAAAAAAACACTTTTTAAAAATCCTTGCGGTTCTGTTTGACTTGCCGGTTCTCATAGCATCAAACATCTATGTAACCTTCCAGCCATCAATATATGCATGCCAACAATTATATTTGTTTCCAGAAATTTTCTGTCATTTAATACACATAAACAACATAAATATGAGTCGTGGGTCAAAACGGGTTTAGCGATGAAATTAGGTTTAGACTCTCGGACGGAACTTGAACCGACTGAAGTGCAGTAAATGCTTAAGTGAGAATGAAAAACCTTCCTTCATAAACAAAAAAAGCCTGCGTGCTTTCAGTTTTGCATTTTTTCTATTATTTAAGAAAAAAAAAGGTTTGGAAAGAAAGTGGAACATGTCCGCCAACGGCCAAATTCTAGCAGTCTCGAAAAAAAATAGCGAAAAAAAAGCACGATTCACCCGGCACGGAGTTGCCAATCGATTTCGCATTTCCTTTTTTTTTTAAATTCATATCGACAGCTCTTATCGCAATCGCACGGGGAATCGTTGACTCGAGCCTGCTTGAGAGCTTAATCTCGTCTTAATCTAATTCCAAGCGATTCCCGATAATAAAATATTTCATGTTATCATCGTAATTTAATATAATTATAAATCATGATTGAGTTTTCTCGAGAAAAATGCATATTAACTCCAGAGGAAACGCTCCCAAAGCCTCGATATCGCTTCCAGCGATAACAGACAGTTACACTTCGTCGCATTCCCCAGACTTTATTGGCTTTCATCGAGATAAGACAGGATGTAAACCGCCATGTTTTATTGGTTTTGCAAGTCAGTCGACGCAGGATGAAAACCTCGACGGCAGTCGCGACTTTTCTGCTGGTTCGCCTCGTCGCCGCCGGTGAGTCCGAATTTCCGCGGTCGAATTTCCGCGGTCGAATTTCCGCGGTCGAATTTCCGCGGTCGAATTTCCGCGGTCGAATTTCCGCGGTCGAATTTCCGCGATCGAGATTTTATTCGATGGTGTCGACGGTGCAGATGACGACGGCGACGACGATGGGGGTGGGGGCGGTGGGGTCGCCATCTGGCTCCCGATCTTGTTGGTGGTGCTGATCGCGGCGATTGCGGTCGCCGTCTGGTTCTTCTGCTGCCGCGGAAATAGGTCCAAAGTCAGGTCAGTTGCGTCGTTCACACAAATATTTTCATGTTCTTTCTTTGGAGTGTTTTTTTTTAAATTATTTTCTGGCGAGTTTTTTTGCCGTTTGCCTCGTCTCTGAATTTCCTATGAGCCTTGAAGGTTTGTCCTTGAAGGCTTGTCCTCGAAGCTTCGTGGAATCACTTTCAATAGCGCTCAGGGTATTTACCATTGAGAATATTGCGAAGCCCGCTGCCTTTGGTGTCTCCCAGTTGCGCGCATTCGCTCCATTCTCTCTGATGGCTCAGACAGATAAGAAATCCCTTATCGCGACCTTCATCCTCACGGACCCACGTGACGTCGAGAGATCATTGAAGCGAATTCCTGACAAAACGGATTCAATCGGGTTCTGCGGAAGCGAATCGCGCGGAACTCGGAAGCGAATCGCGCGAAAGCGTTCTCGCTTCGTCGCTTTCGCGCGAATCCCCCGCTGCCGCGATTTCCGACGGAAGGCGCAGATTCCACGACGAGGACTTCTTTCATTTTATGGCACGACACAAGGAATGACTCACGATAAATAGCGGCTATTCCTCCCGGGCTTTCGACAAACACGATAAAACTCACGATAAACCAATGGACTGCTTAACCTCTCGAACACCCCGCGGCTCGGAGATTGCTTGCATTGCCTTCGCCTGTAAACAAGGTCTTTCGTCGTTCTCCAATAGATGGCAGGAATGTTTAGAATTTGTATCGAGACTTATTAGACAGCTGTTGAAAATAATTTGTGGCACGTGTGCATTCAAGGGGCTAAACGTCCTCCAAGTTTCTCGAATGCGCAAGAGGGCAAAAGACCATCGACTCTGAGATCATGGGCCACGATTCCCATCCAGAATGACAGACAGATCAATTCGGCGAATTGAAGGGGGGGGGGTGGACAGGAAATCGGTAGTGGTTTTCTCATCAGATTTTGACGCCCGATGGCTCTGATGAGGCAGGCACTGAGAACCAATCGAAGATCGCGAAAGTTCTCTATCCGGTGGGGTCTGCATTCACGGATGAGGAAGATGAAGAGAAACTTCTCTGGATCGCCTGGTTTCCTCGTTTGTCTCCAGGAAGAATCTGGGAAGACGTCGAACTTATCGAGACCTAGGCCTATATCGCTTTTCCGGAGGTGATGAAATAGGAATCGATGCGGACAGTTTCGAGGAACCCTTAGAATTCTCCGAGGCATGCCTTGAGCAGCCGCTTCTTTATGACGTGGCACGTTTTGATTGGTCCCCCAACGTGCAATAGCCAATGAAGCATCGGATGCCGCCGCACGCGATTTTCCGTTGAGGGGACGTCGGAGAAAGAAAATCGAATCGTGTTTGTCGGCCTTTACGCCCGTGCTCTTAATATGCTTATTTAAGTGATCCAAGAGAAGCGAATCGATTCTCAATCGCGTTGTTCTCTGGGAGAAAGGGACCATTCTTCAGTGCGACTTTTGCATCATAACCACGAGAAAACTTTTCTCTGACGCTCGAGGAACCTATGGATGAAGCAGGAAGTGGGCTAAGTTTTAAAACATAAAAATAAATTTTGATCGAAGGCAATATGAGGGAACGCAGGCAATGATGATCAGGAAATGAGAAACACGCGATCGCGCATCACTGTAGGAATCGGCTGAGAGCTCCGTTTTGTTCTCGACCTCCGTCAGTCTGGCTGAGAGCAGCTGCTGGGAAGCCGTTCAGTCCGAGATTCTTTTATCCTCCTGGATATTTCAAGAAGGAAGCACTTTATCTCTCAGGAAAGGTTTGAAACCGTTTGAGTAAAAGTCCTGCGAACGTGATTTATGAGTACAGGGATCATGTGTACAGGGGCAACTGCTCTTAACTTTTCGACCTTGCTGCTTTCAGGAATGAATTCTTGCTTGGCCTTGGGATCATATGGGGAAAATGGCACGGGGTATAATAAGTTTCTTTTTTGCTGCTAACGCATCCCAATTCGTCGGGTTTTCCCCAGTTCTCTTGCAGCACGATGCAAAAATTCTCTCATTATGGAATCTGTCTCACCACGTTGGGGAGTCGCTCATTCGCCTCTCGCCTCTCAATAGAACTCCGGCACGCTCCTTCGAGATGTTGGCATCGATAACCAGAAAATTTGGCATATTTTCTAACTCCGCAAAGTAATTACTTCTACGCTGAAGATTTTGCCACGCAGGACAAGGGCATCAATCCATGCTAATGCATTCCTTGTAGATTTGGACTATCCTAAACAAAATTATGTTTGAGGTGAAAAACAGAAAACTTCCTTTCACAAATTTTCACTAGATAATACTGTCGTCTTCAATCGAACTTCTTAAAATTTCAACGAAAACAATCCCCATTACCGCACACCGTAACATCTAAAGATTTGCTAAAATATTCTGAGGGTGTGGGAATAGTGTTTTCATCTGCACCGAACGAAATAATTTCTCGATCACTAACGCTAATGTGCGTCGCAAAGCAGGGAAGTCTGACCCCTTCGTTCATTGGCTCCTTAATAAATAAACTCATTTAAAATTAGTATCCTAAAATAAGCAGACGAGCACTCTTGGTCCAAGGACAATTATGTCGCTTCTCCATAAGGAGGTAGGTCGAGAGATTATGTACCTCAATTTTCGACCAAGCTTGGTGGCGAGAGCTGACGACTCAACGAATTTCTCGAATTCGAGAAAGAGGTCGTCGACACTCAGTGAACGACACTCAACCGACATGAATCACAATCTGAAAATTTCCATGCAGGAGGTAGCGTTTTTTTTTCGATATCTGAATTGTTATCATCATGAGAGGTTGAAAAACATTCCACACCGAACCCGAGATTTTCATTGGGCGATCGGAATGCAGTCCTTCGTCACGAGATCGCGTTGGACTTCGGAAGGAATTCGACAACACGCTGAGAAGAGGTTTGAACTATGGCTGTCTAGACACGATGGAGGAAAGAATCCTCGATAGACCCAGTTTAAAGGGGAAACCTATCCGAAAAGGCTTTAGTAAAAACGTTTCTATACGAAATAAAAATACCATTTGCTTCTTATACTTCGAGCCAGTGTTTAAAGACATGAACAATCAGGTAGGGACATACCTGCTTGGCCACTGACCTGAACCAATCCGATCTGTCTCTTCAGAGAAGCAAGAAGAGTCAAAACGAAAGCATTACGTCCACGTTCCCAATTTTCTATTAAAGCCGATCCGGTTCTGACTTATTTCAACTAGGGTAGGTGATACAAACTCCGACCTCCAGAAGCTCAAAATCCGCCCCCTTACCCACGGTTTGAAATGAATTTTTATTTTTATGCCAATCGAAAGGGAAATGCACAAACACCTGTGTAATTTGGTTGGAAAAGGCTATTTGTACGTACTTCCGATCCCGTTGAAATATGTCGCATGGAGGCAGACTTCACAGCAGGGTCGGAATTCGTACGACATCCCCTCCTCACCCACAACAGCCCCAACCGGAACAGAACTCACACGCCTCTTTCCCCTTTGACAGGAGCATCAGGCAGAGAATGGCCAGCAGACCGCCTCGAAGACGGAACCACCCCGGCCCCCGCGGCATCCAGCTGTCCCAGTCTTCTCCCGTCTCCCCGCCGGACGAGCCAGGCCTCAAAGTCACCATCTCCAGCCCCCACCGGAGCGACTCCCTGGAGGCCCCCTCTGCCCCCTCTGCCCGCCTTGCCCCCCCTGTCCCCGCCGGGTCCAACACCTCGCTTCACGCCACGACCAGCGAAGAAGACCAGCCTCCCCCTTACAGTGAAATTGCCGGAAAATAGTGGAAAGTGCAAAAAAAAATTCCAGTTTGACTTCATCCGATTGTTTCCTTTCTGTCTTTCCCTTTCGTCCAACTCTGAAACCTTTCCAGATGGGTGAAAATGAATCTTTTCTATGTACCTTTTTGAATTCAAAGCAGACGTCATTCCAGTCGATCACGCGGTTGCCTCCGGGAAACTCCCATTTTCCCGAGAAAAAAAAAACTCAGACCACTTGATGCTGATATCACGAATGCCTTGACGCTGTTGATCGAGCTGAAAGCCTGATAGAAAATACCGCAGGCGTATCGTAACGTGCACTTCTTATTTCAAGATTACAGCGATATGAATTTTGTTGAACTTGAAAGGTCTAGCTCGTTCTATAAATATCCGCGCTCGAGATACATGAGTAATCGTGGAAACTCTCCTAGTTGCCATGAGGTAAAAGGCGAGACCCGATTGAGAATTGCTTTTGAGATGGCAGTGTGGCATGGCACATAACTTCACAGGCGATTATTGCTCCCCGAAGTTTTTTGTGTTTGGAGGATTTGATCCCACGAGTCTGTTGAATTTGGTTTTGGATTTCAATTGTCATATTTGGGGGTCATGAACATGAATGTTTTGATTAGAATGAAAACGTTAATCGATTAATCTAATCCGATCGGCAGCCGCAGTTATTAGAACCAGGAGCTACTGAGCCGAGTGGACGCGAAGCACCGAAACTAACTTGGAATTCAGCGACGAATCCCGCCGACGGCGCGAATTTCAGGCAGAATCGGCGGACACGCGGAAGAGACGCAATTCCCGTTGGAAACAATGAGGATTCTCGGATGACGAAACCCTGCAGCCTTGAGAGTCCGAAGATCCGGCACTCGGGAGGTCCTCATCATGGGAGCGGTGGACGTCATTCAGATAACGGGGAAGAGGGGGGGGGGGAGGGGGGGGGGGAGGAGGAAAGATCTGGGAGTCGCTATATCTTACAGTCGCGTCTTTCGGGTTCAGTCTGATTCGGTCGGTCAGGATGAGAGGTGTTGTGGTCCTTGCGTTCCTCGCGCTCGTTCCCTTCGTTTGCGGGGGGGCAGGTTAGTCGTCTGTTGTTTGCAGGTCCTTTTACAGGCGAGGAATGACCTTGCTTTCGCTTATGTTCAGTGAGGGAGGCGATTTCGTGCTCTAAGGATGACGACTGCAAGAACTTTCCCCTGAGGAACTTCTGCATGCGGGACGGACACGACGGCTGCGAGTGTTCGTCGGCGCGGGCGGCAGACAACGCGGCGATTGGCGGATCCGATCTGTGCGTTTGGCGGGGATCTTGTCTTCGACTGTCATTATCATGATCGCTCCATGGTTCGATATCGGCGACGATTTTCAGCTGTTTTCAATGTCCTCCCGCGTTACGTGTCGTGAAATATGTTAACAATTGTCGGACGACGGTTTCTGGGAGGAACATACCTTAGCAAACGACGACTTTTCGTCTATTTTATGAACATTCTATAAATTTATAAAATGATGGTAGAATAGGAATTTTGTATTCTGTGAATTAAAGCTTCCCTTCCCAACTGATATAACATTCATCAAGACAATTGATGTGTTTAAATCTCGTCGTCGGGAAACTGTTAATCGGCATCGGCACGCCCAGCACCGCTGACAGTCATTCTCCTATCTCTGCCAGAGGGGTGGGGAAGGACGTGGGGAAGGACGTGGATGCGTCGGGTGTCGCCCTGAAGCCGAAGGAAACCCGCAGAGGACGCGATTGCCCCTGCGACAATCATGATAAAATTAATCGCAAAGGCGATGACGACGAAGACGACTGCCCCGAAGAAGTGCCCCTGGAAGAAGGCGACAGCCCCGAAGAAGTGCCCCTGGAAGATGGCAACCACCACGATGAAGAACACGAAGAAGACGAACACTGCGAGCGCTCGTTCCCCTTCTGGATCCTGCTAGTGGGAGCCGGCGCCATTTGCGTGGGCGTTGGCATTTTCACCTGGTGCTGCTGCTGCCGTCGGAAGGTCGTTCGGTCAGTCGCTGCTTCCGTCAGTCTTTGAGTCCTCGCTTTTGTCACGGTGGAGTGAATTGTAGACGGAATTCGAGGCTCTTCTCGCTGAGAGTCGCTGGAAAAGTCCCCAATTCCTTCCACTGGATCCAGTCTTCATTTTAAAAAAATAGCTAAAGCTTGCTTCTTTCGACGGGAAGAGTGCCAGCATGTTCCTCACAAATGTCTTCCCTTTTTTTTATTAGGGGAACTGCGTCAGAGAAAGCCCGCGAAGCGGCGGGAACAGGACCCTCAACCATCTCGAAGGCCCCAAGCGAAGCGTTGGATCCCCCGCCTCCGTACGCGTTCGATCCCCCGCCGTATCCGGCTTCCTGAGTCGGCTTCCTGAGTCGTTCTAGGGGTCTCTTCGCGTCCGGCCGTTGGGGAGTTTTCTGTTCGCATTAAATTCGTGAAAATAATAATTTGGCATTATTTATTCCTCACTCTATCGAAATTCCATAATTTATCTACAGCAGAAGAAAAAATTTTGAGGCGAGGCGACATGAAATCGTGTGACTTTCGGAGCGATTTTTTTTCTTCTTCAAATCTCTCATCTTAGATTGAATAATTATATCAATATTGAAGTATTTTAATTGGATCAGTGCATGATTTCATTCGGAGTTACGTTGAAACAGGCCTCCATCTGCCCTGACATCTTGCAGTTCATTCAATAAACATAAAGTTCAGACGATACACGCTAGGTCGCGCTGACTCGCCGCTGTAAGCGTCCCGTTTCCCCCGATGCAACTGGACGGTTCCGCGTGGGTTTTCGTCTCGTACTCGATATTTTCCCACGTACAAATAGGAAGAAGAAAGTCGTTTTAATCGAAGCATTAGGCTGGAGACGTAACCCAGCTCAAAGAGACTCCAGACAATTCTCGCGCAGCGGATGGAGTGGATGGGCCTTGTCAAGAGTCTATGTTCAAATGTGGAATGTTTTTCATCGGCTTCGAGGCTGGGACGGAACGGTGAGACGACTTCGCATCGGTCATTTTCTTATTTACTGTCTTATCTCTTCGGTGACACTCATGGGGTACTTGAACGGTGTGAACGCGCGTTCGAGCTGCAGGATTCGAAAGTCCGAGGGAAAAAAACTCCCTTCTCCTTCGTCGGGCATGAGCATTTTGGAATTTCAATTAATTGGACGCACGGTGGATGAATGGTCATCCAGTGGATGTGTCCTTGAATCGATGTCCAATGGATTTATTTGGGTTCAATATTGGTACTTGGGCGAGCGAACGTGGGTTTCGTCTGAGGGGGTTGAATGGCAAAGACAAAAGCGAAAATCAGGGGGAGCCGGAGGGGATGGATGGTCGCCTGCTCTGCTCCCGCGGGATGCCCTCCCCATCCCGGGTGACGCACGTGTTGTGACTGAGTTGTGACAATATCTAAATGTCCTTTCATTTCTTATTGTTACAACATTATCTTGCAACGCCGTGAAAACGTTTCCCTTCTGGCGTGACGACATTGTGACGACATTACAGTTTTTTCCAATTGCTAAAGCCCTTTTGCATATCTTGATGGACATTTTTCAAAACTTAACGTACGATCCGCAGAACTCTCCGCTCTTTTCCCATATCTATGCGTCCGTCAGTCAAAAGACCATCCCTCTATCAAAATGAAAGTACGCTCTTCAATTTTATAACGTACGGGGTTAAGAATGTCTATGGACTGCCAATAAGCGACAGCACTAAATAATTATTCTGAAGGGGACACCCCTCATCTCAAAATGCATTCCTGTTACAATATCTCTTCAGGAGGAAGGAATAGAAGTGGAAAGAGAGCCTTCGACCAGTTTCCTTATTTCACTCAATGTAACTTCATGCAATAAAATTCTGAGTACGATATTTTTTATTGTAATAAATTTCACGTTACATCAAACGAGAAGAAAATGAAAATGTGAAAATGTGCGACTTAGGAGAAAACTCTAACTCTCAGATTCTGGAGGTACAATATACACATGTTGCCTGTCACAGCTTCTAGTATGGAAATGCACTTGGAGCCGCTATAACGAATAACGAACGGCACAATGTACAAGAGTGAGTGAACTTTAAAGGAGAGAATTGAAGCTGCTGTAACTGGAATACCCTTCTATTCAAGACCTGGGGTTCATTCGTCTAATCTGTCTCTTCCCGGCCAAAGCATCTCATCTACATCAGCTATGATGTCTTCCTTTGCTATGCAGCGATGAAAGTATTGACGAGAGTGGCGCATCCAGCCCCGAAAGCTTTCAGTTCGAATGGCAGAGCATGCCTCCGACATGGCTTCAAGAAGGGACACGCGATCACGAGCATCATGATCATAGACCCTCCATCGCCACGCTGAAAAGAACTCCTCGATGGGGTTTAGGAATGGCGAATAAGGGGGCAGGAATACCTGCATGCAATCAGAATGATCCTCAAACCACTTCTTCACTTCGGCTGTCTTGTGAAATCGAACATTGTCACAAATGAAGACATAGACAGTTTGGTCTTGCGTATTCTCCACCACATCAGGATCTCCTTGCAGCTCCCCGTACGCATGATCAAGGAAGCCCAGAAGCCTCTTGGAATTGAAAGCCCCCAAAACTTCTTCATGATACAAGAAACCATCCTCAGACATAGCTGCACATATGGTTATGTTTCCACCCCGCTCTGCTGGCGTTTCCACGGTAGCCCTCTCTCCTATGATGTTCCTACCACGTCTCCGTTTCTTATTCAGATTGAATCCGGCCTCGTCAAAAAACACATATTGGACGTTTCCTGAGGCAAAGGAATCAAGCTCCATGATTTGCTGAAAAAAAGGGATGTTTTGGATAATTTCATGACAAAATTTATCGGTGACTGGGAAAGGTGGGACTCTCCGATTAAGAAAGGTTGCTAGCTAATATTCCCAAAGTTTGTGTACCTGGACGTATTTAAAACGCTTTTCCTTCACGTCGTCCGTGTTTCTTCGGAATGGCACACGGTACAATTGCTTCATTGTGCACCGATACTTGCTCAGGATTCTGGCGATTGTGGAGGTACTCAATGTTTGTATACCTGAGAAGGTTTCCTCATCGTCAGCGATCATTTGTTGAATTTCCGAAAGTCGCAAGTCATTCCTTTTGCGAACCATCGCCACAATGGCTTGTTCTTGGTCGGCTGTCAGCCTGCTTGGCCTTCCTCCAGCACGAGCCTTACGGGTTGTCCTACCCGAATGAAGTTGCGCAGGATCACATTGGTATACAATTTACATACATAATAAGACTCTTGTCGAGAAATGCGAAATTTCGGCCCAATACCTGCTCGTCTTTCGAAAGTTAGAGATTTATGGTGGAGACTGTGGACTTGGAGAGATGAGGTTGGACTCGTTGCCCTGCTTCAGTAAGTGTTAATCCACGATTGACTACTAAGTCAGAGTAGCCCGAATCTGGTCTGGGATGTGAGCTCTTTTTGAGCCTGCGATCACGTCTTTTCGTCTGTGATTTTTGTTTCGCCTTCCCCGACATGACAATTTCTGTGTGAACTGCTGAGAACAATTCTGTGCATTCCGAATCAAAATTGTGGAATATATTGATGGACTTGCCAAGAGAATACGGTGTAATAAACTTTAGGGATCTCATCTAAGCCCTAAAAGACCGAATATGTCGAATCTAAAAGATCGAATATAAGTTAACATTTCTTAGCATAGGAGCTTTTTTCAGGATACAAACGTAGGTTTGTGAATGCTTCCTGAGCCCAAAGGTTGATTTTTATTTTTTCGAACTTAACCCTTTAATGCATGACGTAGCTGATATGCTACATACCAAATAAACAGTTTTAGAATGCGCAGGTATTGAGCTCCTGAGGTAAATCTGTTCGTAGCAGATGCGCAACCGTCCGGTTCTTATACCTAGCAACTATGCGGTCGCTAGGTGCCATACACTCCTGCTGGTAAACAATTTTAACCAATTTCGTTTCGTCGTATGGCATATTGACGCTTTTGATTTAATTTTCTTAAATTTCTTTAATTTTCTTTCCGTTAATCCAGGGTACAGGCTCATCGTATTTTTACATTTTCTTTTGTGTTGAGGTATGTACGAATGTTGACGGACCGACTGAGCTCTCTAGCATCCATGCAGCGTGGGTTAGAAAGCTGAAAATGCTGTTTGTAGCAAATGAGCAACAAGAACATTTTCAGGCCTACAGCTTACAAATTAGGTTTTAATAAATGTTTTCCATTTAACCCATGTTCTAGGATGTGAGTGAAACCTGCCAGATTTTTTTCGTCTTTCAGACCTGAATTAAGGTCACTATTGAAATAATATTATTTTTCCGCTCTTTCTTGAACCTTAAATGTGTATGTTCTATATATCGTTCTTATATTTTGTATTAATTTACTATATATTACATATTATTAATGTAATTACATAACTAAAGATTGCTTAACCCTCATCCGGGCAAGGTGAGTCTGTCAGACTCGCATGTAAAATAAGGCCGTTTGCTGCGGTTACGATATGTATTTCTTTGTAAATTTCTTTGTATTTTTGAAGAGCACGAACAAGGTGACAAAGTCACGAAAGCTCATTTTTCTACGAAAAAAATTGACAGTTATAGACGGAAATATGTCGTAGTGAGTCCAGCGGACTCACCTTGCCCGGATTAGAGTTAACTGACTGGTGAGAGAAGGCCTCCGACGGAATTGAGCCATGCATGAATTATTGAGTCCAATGTAGTGTAATATGGGACCGAAAGTTGCGAGAATCCCAAGAAATTACCGTAGAAAGAATGGAAATCCAATGTCCATTGGAATAGACATTGGGTCTGAATGGGTTGATACTTAGGGTATTTTATATTGCGCTTCTATTTTACCGTTGAAACTGCATGTTGGATGCCCGGGATCGAGAAAACTATTGGGAGTTTTTCGCAACTACAGGCTCGACTAGGGCAACGCACTCTCATAGACGTATCATTTCTTGATGGATGGCTATTTTCAAAACTTAACGTACCCAGGTCAAAACTGTATGTACTACTGTCAAGACTCAATTTCCATGCCCCAAAAGTCAAAACAGAACGTCCCACCATCAAATTCTAACGTACCTGGAGTCAAAACCTAAAGCACCGTTGGCGAAACTCAAAGGACGATCCATTGCTGTGAATGGGGAGGCAGGAGTCTCGCGAATCGATCCTTTCCCTGTCACCCATACCATGCGAAACTGACCAAGACTTCCCCAATGTCTTTCAATGGAGCGTACGTTACTTTTTGAGGCAAGGACGTTGAGTTTTGACGTGAGTGCCTTAAATTCGCTAAAACGGACCACAGCAATGTATTACATAGGAAAGTATGTTTCGGAAAAAGAAGGTGTGACGCGCATGCCGATTTACAAATTGTAAATATTAAATTAAATTAAATTAAATTCGCTAAATTTCTTAAAATTGCCTTAAATTCGTTCGAAAGGACGATGGAAATGTATTCTATTGTAAAAACAGGTTCATGTAAAGGACTTTTGGCACCCGTGACGTAATATAATTTAAAGATGGCATAGATGGGGCTATAACCGACTGATATGTGCTAGTTTTAATGCAATGGTTCTATATTCTCTGAAATTTGTGCATGAACTATTTTTCCAGTTTTGAAAATCATACATTGAGTACTTATCCTTCGATTCTCAGCACCTACTTTGACACCTAACACAATCTAGGCTCGGTTATTGAGCAGAGGTGTGAACGAAGGGCGTTTCAACAGTGCTCAACCGAGATCAATTCAGCCTAGATTTACTCCTGAAAAAGCCATCAATCGGCCCAAAGTGATAATTTCATGTGAGCCAGATGCTTGAGGTACTGTCGTCCATTGGCATAGGCGTACTCCAACTCAACAGAAACCTTACAGTACTGTGCAAAGACCAGGTATTTTCTTTGGGCAGAGGTTACATAGACTGTCTTCAAATTTCCCTTCTTTGACGTTTTAATGCAAAGTAGCCAATACACTTCTAACAAGGTTGTGGGTCATAAGCATATCAAATGCAGCAACGGTACAAACTTGTGACGTTTGGAACATCTTGTTATGAAGGTCCAGATTTTTCTTCATGTGAATACGCTGAAAATACACCTACTTTCTTAAGGTATTGTTTGTATGAAGGCCTTTCTAATGGAGCCTGAAGACAGATAAGAAGGAACGATAAATTCTGCAAAGGGTGGGTGGCCTATGAGGGTTGATTAGGCTTCCCTCCAGTAAATTTTGTCCATTCCTTTCCACTCAACATGGCAAATGCTGCATGCGAAATTTCATCCAAATCTGACGTATGATACTCTAGAACCACTGGAACGCGCGGGATAGAATGACCTGTTTGCATGGTATTAATCGTAGGTATGCCTAGTACAAAACCTTTTAGGGTCCAAATCGAGTGAAAAGATAAGCCTATGGAAAGCAACTATTCTGGACAATACTCATTACAGTAACTTTTGCTTGATTGCACACGTATCCCACCAGCCCCCCCCCCCCTTCTCTTGACGGGTTGAAACGGGAAGTAGAACATTTTTTATCTACAACAATATTCCTGCGATGTTGGGTCCATCAGGATGAAAACACTGGAGATCGTAACATGAGATTTTCGCATTTAGCAATATCTACGAACGAAAGTGGGTTCCATCGTCAAAAACCGTTTGCAACCTATAACAAATATAAATGAGAACAAAATGGCAGATGAAAGTCACCAATTCAAGGCAAGAAGCATTAATCTCTACTTATGCATGATGTGCGGACTAGGCTAACTGCAGGGTTGCGATTCCCTTTTGAACCGCTTTTAGTTGGGCATGTTGCAACTGAAATGAATTTTCATTGATGAACGCTCAGGACCAAGGCTCTTGGATATTACCGAATAGCAGTCAGCAATTTAGCATGTTAACGGCTTTGCTTTTTCGACGCAAGAAGCCCTTTCATCGTTTGAGAATAAGCATGCAGTTCTGACAACTCTGGACGATTAGAAAAGCTCTGTGATTGGTTGGAGTGGACTTTCTCGAGGACGTCGGTTGTCATCAAAAGCCATGCATCCATCGCTGGCGCCCACCCAATAGCTCTTCTTGTTCTTTTCCGTACGTTAAGTTCTGAAAGAGGTACGTTAAGATGTGAAAAACGCACATCGAGTTTCGCTTTTCGTACGTTAACAACGAAATCGGGTGTTAAGTTTTGTGAAAAATTTGCAGAGGTTTGGGATTTGTTCAAATAGTTTTGAAAACGGAAACGTAGTTTTGAGAAACGGACGTTAGCAATTGGGAAAAACTGTAACTTCATCACTATATACATTTCTGGTCGTTGCATCATTAATGCAGTCGTTAATTATTAAAAATAAGCGTTGAAAATTTTGATTCGTGATGGTCTCGAACTGGGATGGCGATATGGAAATAAAAGGTATTTAATCGCACAGGTTAGAGCTGAACGGGCACAGGAGGCGTCTGACATGGGAAGCGACGCCGAGAAGCATCCACGACGGCGTCGCTTCTGCCTTCGAGAACGCGGACTGCCTCGTCTTCGATGGGGACATCGCGAGGCTGTTCGCCCACAATGGGAACCTGGGGATCAATGTCACCGTCTTTATGGTGTGAATGGACGAGAGAAGACTTTTTGTGAAAGGGAATCTTTGAAGGATGGAGAAAACGAAAAGGAAGAAAACGATAACTTTTTATGTAGGCTGAGACCCATATTGCCATTGCTTGAATTGCCACTGCCATCATCCTTCACTTAGCAGCCGTGACCCGACGTTGCGTCACGACGACGACGGAACGGAAACATGGATGTGGTGTAGCGCGAATGGGAGCACGAGGGCAAAAATCGTCGGCATTAAGATGTTAAATTCGGTAAACAGGATTATGTATGTCGGGTGAGATGGATCTAAATGGAGATTGAATTCTCTTGCCGGCACGTAACTGCGAATCGTCAAAAATGGAATCGTCTCGCCTTTTTCGGTCGTGACGTCTCGTCTGAAAAAATACGTAGAATGAAATTCGCTCAGATGAAATTGAGACTTCGTTTTCTCCGCGCCCCCAAGGACAAGGAGCTTAAAATGTGCTGGAATAGCTTTCTGTCAATTTTCGAAGACGTCTGTCCCTTCGGAAGCATCCGTAGTCGATGTCGATGCACGAGTGCCTTCTCGTCCTGCCGATCGGACGCGTAGAGATTCTAGTCGTCGACCAGAAGCGGCGAGAAGGGCTTCACCCACTCCAGTTGTTTCTCCGGAGCATCCAAAAGCCCGGGGAAGTACCTCTCTCGTCATCAGATGAAGGAAAATCAGTTTTGTCTCCCGGTTTTCGGAATGCAGAATGGAAAGTGTTCACGGTGACGACTGACCTGAGTAACTTAATAAAATGTTCCAGATATTCTTCGTCTGTGCAAGTTTCAACGAATCCGAAATCGAGGTACTCGATGGGGACTCCGTACCATTGGATGAGCGTCTGCTTCTTCATCGCATCTCCCCAGGAACTCTCGACAAATTGATATTCCGAGGAAAACGGAATTTTTGCGCCTAAGGAATGCTTCTGGAAAACAGTGGATTGAAGTGGTTGCAGACTCCTCGCCAGCCTCGGTTAGTCTAGGACCGACAGCAGGAGACCCCTAGACAACACGGTTTAAGATGGTTAGGTTCAATTTTAAGAAGTCTAAAGGTTGATGATCAAAATGACGGCAGTAAAACCGGCTCCTATAGAGGCCCGCTGGCATGTTACTTAGGCACTTGGGTAATTACAGTTTAGAGGGGTTGGGTCTCGTTGTTGGCGCCATCTCTGGAGGGAACTGCGAACTGCACCTCATCCAATGTTGTTGGCGCCATCTCTGGAGGGAACTGCGAACTGCACCTCATCCCCCAATGTTGTTGGCGCCATCTCTGGAGGGAACTGCGAACTGCACCTCATCCCCCAATGTTGTTGGCGCCATCTCTGGAGGGAACTGCGAACTGCACCTCATCCGCAAATGTTCCTGGCGCCATCTCTGGAGGGATTCGCGAACTTCCCTTGTTCTTGGCGCCATCTCTGGAGGGAATCGCGAATTGGTACCCCTTGCTTCAGGCGCCATCCCGGAACCCATATTGATTTTGATATCACAGCTGGCTAGGATTTGTTCAATATTAGCCTTGAATATTAGTCGCATGGCTCATGACTTATGTATTGAGATTTTTTTGCTAGTCGGAGTGTCGATTCCGAAGTGGGACTCTCCCACTTCGGAATCGACACCGACTTGGATAGGATATTGCATGGATAGGAGATGCACTGTCATCAGTCGATTTATTGTATCATGAGTATGACCCATGGACATGGTATCAGGAACACAGGATTTTGCAAGAAAATGTACTTGATGTCTCTTTCAGAGTATTATGGTATGTGTTGGCATCGTCTCCAGTCTCCAGGTTATTTCCAATGGAACACAGGAGGGCTTCGTGTTCACGAAGATGGTGCAACTTGTCTGAGAAACCAAGCCTGAGTGTACTCCTTCTGAAACTCTGATCCTCAGGCACCTGGCCCCGAACATACTCCATTGGGGCTGAAAGACGTATACAGGTAGCACCACAACTCTCAGGATGCAGATGGTATGACAATTTTGTTTAGGAACAAACAGAAATCCAATTATGACTCTCGAAAGCCATGATATTCCCGTCGGACTGAAGCGACGGAAAAAAATCATTTGCAAGAAGCCCATACAAATTTGAAAAACTTTTCAGTTTCCACATGTCTGCAAAATTCAGGTTTTTCAGACCTTACCGAAGGATGAAAATGACGCAAGGCTGGGGTTCCATCATCAATTTCTCAGAGGAAGGTCAGAATCAATTGGATTTTTGAAACACATCACATTTTCAGATGAAGCTACATGTCATCCGAGTGGGAAGGTAAACTGATCATTAAGAGTTACTTAAGAAAAGAAACCCTATGAATTCGAACAAAATAGTGAACTATATCTTCTATGGGTAAAAAAAGATTAACTTCTTAAATCTGTGAAGGACTTTCTAAACATCCTGTATAATGGTTTATATCATCTCTTGGTAGCAAATGGTACCTGTAGCCCTTCTCTTGCATTACAGTACAGTACAATCGTCCCAAGAACATAGTGACATGAAAAGTGAAGGAACGAGAGATGTCACCTGTATGAACCATCTGTAAAAGACAAAGGATATGAAGGCATTGTCTTCCCCTCCCCCCTTTCTTCTTTTTCCCTTAGGACTTCATCCTCGTATCGACCTCGAAGGGGACGCCACGGTCGGTGGATCTCATCCTCTTGGGAGACTCCAGGTTCTTGAAATTTCGCTTCCCTGGCATCACCACCTGCTCCATCCTCTGCTCAAGAGCCTTGCATATTTGTTTTGTATCTTAAATTGCTTTCTGTCCGGGATCATTTGAAAGAGTTCGATGTGGAAATAGTATCGGCTGCCCATCCTTGTTCCGATCGCATTATCCCATGTTTGCCTCTTCCCAGTCTGTACCGAATGAAAAATAAAAAATTTATATTCATTACTACGTTGTTTTGCCATTTTCTCCAGTCATTAACGTCGATGAGGGACATAAGGAAGTGGCATAGGAAGAGGATGGGAAATCGCAGCGATTGGAGAAACCAATCGCGAGTCGCACTGACGCCAGATTCCATTGATATTCAATTATGCGAAGGTAATCGAACAATTCCCAAGTAGTTTCAACCTCAAAGGACCTGATTGATGTTCGTCTCGACACTGGAAGTGTGGCAAGAACCCAAAGAATCGACTTGGACAGAGACGCAGGGGATGAAAGCATATATGAATGATGAAAGTCGGGGACTGGCGAGCAAAGGTCATTAAAGGTCATCAATACAAACGCATGAACTGGCATCGAGAGAAGTTCTCCAGACGGACGAGTTCATCTCAGGCGCAAGGGGTGGTCGGAAGGCGGGAGAGTCCACGGAGTGGAAAAGAAAGGGGAGGTCGGCAGGGGGATGACGTCACTCAATTCGACCTTGAAGACCCACTTTTTTCCTGGTTCGAAAAAACCAGCAAGAAGCGTGATACTCCCGTTTCCCCTGAATCCCTGCGACGTCACGGATCTGGGCCGAGTCACCTCGATTCGACCTTGAGGCCTCAGACATCCGACTTCCCCTCGAAATTGCATGGACTCGTCCACCTGCCCCGTTACACTGAAAAACGCAGTTTTTTCGACAAGCTGGATCTCGTCCGTCCCTAGCCGAGAGGGAAAGCGTTCGTAAGGCATTCACAAGGCTTAGGATCGAATCCTAGCTGAGAATACTTTTCTTTTTTTTCGTGCCTTCTCCGTCTCATGATTCCACACGAAGTTTATCGACTTCTTTCTTGTCTCTTCGCACGAAGTGCATCACCAGGAAGACCAACCCGATGGTAGTAATTCGTTCGCGTGGAAGCGATGAGGCAAGCGCACGCTGGTTATTCGTATTTCCACACCAGCCATTAGTCTTTCCCTGCATTTCCGAGAAATGAGGCCTCCCGTGAATGAGGCGTGTCAGACGCTACGGTCCATCCATTCTAAAGAATATGTATGCTTTCATAACAGTATGTATAACTCCCTTTCACTCCAATAGAAGATCCATGTGTTCGGTGGTCCGCGGACCACAGATAGAGAACGACTGCCTAGGGGTCATTCCACGCCGACTCGAACAGAGCGTGAGATCGACCATCTCGGACTTGGACGAAAATCGGCATACACGCTTACAGGAATCGATTTAAAGAAAATAAACTTTCAACCGTTTCCTTACCTCTCGCACAAATCTCCAGATATACGTATACATTTGAATATCCCCAATTTTTGGGGCCTGTCGCCCACGTAGACTGGAAATGTGAATCTGTTTCTGCAACAACTTCTCCGGTATTTGAGATACAAGCTTCACACCTCTGGAATTTGTTGTTCCAATCGAAATTTCACGATATGCCATTTTTAGCGATACCAAATTCGAGATTGGCACTCAATGGCTTGATGAGAAATGAATATTTGACTGCAGCAGTAGAGCCAAAATAATTTCAAGCGAATTCTCAGACGTTTCAACAGTTTGACCGAATTCTGTGACCGTAACCTGCACTTGCCCCTCCAAGAATCGCGTGTTATAATACTTTATAGAAAAATTACCAGATATCTCCTTTCTAGCAATACCAAATTCAAGATTGGCAATCAATTTCTTCATGAGATAGCCATCAGCCATCTGTGCCCAGTCGATGCCGCAAAATAATTATGTCTCAAATTAAAAGTTCCATCACTAGTTACGATATCAGAGACAAGTTTTTTGCGCCAAACTTAAAATTTTAGAAGCAGCGCTTTTCCGAAATACACTCGTCTGGTTTTCTCTGTCAGACAGGTTTTTGGATTTTGGGGAGGTACTTTTTCTCGTTTTCAAACGTATGTTAATTTTTTTTTATGCTGCCACTTTAATGCCAACAGTCTCTTCAAGGATGCAGGTAAATTTTTTTTAGTCATTTTCAATTAGACGATTGAGTTTCTCGACATTTGCGTGAATGACGGTTGCTTTAGAACGCCATTCACCAGATAAATTTTCAAGATTAGTCTGACTAAACAGTAACAGCGAAAGCCACTCATACACAAACTTGTCATACGTGGGTTCAACGTGAAAG